CACATTTGAACAATCAAACCCATAACACACTATGTTTTCTAAGCTGTTTCTTGACTTCCAGCATTTCAAGTTATTGTGAAAGTTATATCGTATGGGGCCAAAATAACGTATGATCTGAAAATCTAGAGAGATGAACACTGTAAATAGTGCTGAAAGAGCTTACTTTCGAGTAGTGAGACATGTAGTAGGAAAAAACTATGATTGAGTGCACATGCTTTTAGGAATTTTTATTTAATAAAAATATAAAATTATTTGCAAGTAAATACTTCTCCACTATACACACACCTACAACTATAAAAAGACTACAAAAAAAGAAGAAAAAAAAATGACTACAGCACTTATTGACAGGAAAAATATATATACACTAAATACACACATATAAAATACGATTTCAAACTTAACAAGAATTATACATAATCTGGCACTCTTTGGGGTCCTCGAGGGACTTTCTTTCCTTCAGCAAGCAGCCTTTTGCTGGCATTTCGCAGCCAGTTTTCCACAACTTCTTTGAATGAACTGGCTGTGTAATCGTGAAATTGCGGGTTTGCTCGTACAGCATCTGTAACAAACAAAGGAAGATATAAGTAGGAGGGCATTAGACAGTACACAATATTTGCACTTCAACACAGTTATGTTATTTTTAAGATTGGCACTTTCTGACACATCAGTAACTACTATCATCTAGTAACTATACTTACACAAAAAATTCCAATCATTACACATTTTCAGTTAATTATTCAGCACTTAAAATCATGGACTGACGAGTGTGATCAGCTGTCATGTTCCACACCTACATGAAAAGTGTCTTTGTTCCTTCATTTTATTGATCCTAACAAAAACATACAAGGCTTCATTCGATGCACTTTATACTTTAAGTTTTCAAATGCAAGAGCTCATGCTCGAATGAAACCTTTCACTTCACACTCAACTGCTCGCCCCTTCCTCCTTTTCCTGCTAAGCAGATTATGAGGAAACATCTCTCAAATGAGGTCTATTCCAAGGAAAGGAAAAATTAAACTATGACTTACGCAGGGCCATGTCATGTATCAGCAGAGTTTGAAACGCCTTGTTGTTCGATCCCTCCCCTTGGTAGCTATATTCCTTGGCTGCTCGATTACTTAAGAGGGTTCTCAGTACTTCTCTGATGATATCTCCAGGCTTTGCCCCTCCCAGCTGCAACAGACCCTGGAACTAATGAAACAAACCAAACATTGATAAATAATTTTAATGTTATAATTTAGAGTGTAGCAAATTCAAGTTAACATCATGTTCTTGACTCAAATATACATCTTTTTCAGGAAAAGAAAGTGTCAAAAACTCATCTTTTAGACAATTCACGTTAATAATTTTCCTTCCTTAGCAGTTTATTTCTCAACACAGCATCATAACAAAAAACAAAAACATGACAAAAACATTCATTGACTTGTTTCATCTCTGCATCATCATACTTAATACTTGAAGTATTAGCATGAACTGAGCTGCGATCAAGGTTCTCATGTGGTAAAAACACAGGAAACAAACTCAAAGAGAGGGCTGGTTTCTACCCGATTACTCAATAACCAAACAATAAAATCGGTTACAATTTTCAAAACACTTTTCACACTCGTATGACATCTTTCCTCCGGTGTTTCAAGGCCTCTCAGATTTCTTCCTCCTCATGTGAAACAACAGTACAATACGAGTGTGTCATTAGGAGAGCAAATAGAAGATCAGATACTTAAAAGAAGAGAATCAATACTCACAAACTTCTTCCTGGTGTCTGCGTTTTCATTCAAGAAATTTTCAAGAGCCTCAACCTCCACAGAGGACTTGCACGGGAGGCCTGCAGGGTATAAATTAGCGAGACTAATTATCGGAGCTTTGTTGGCGCTTTGCCCGATCAGCCCGCCTGATTTCGCTGTCGCTTTGAGGTACGCAACATCCTTCTCAAGATTGCTTAATCTGTTTCCGAAGGCATGAAATCCGGATTTTATCTCTCCTGAAACAAATTCAATATGTATCAATTATAATAGTGCCAAAAATTAGAAAAATCAACTACATTTTTCAAATTCTTACAACCCTTGGCCGACTTTGAACACGAACTACACTTTCCAAATGCTCAGATTCCTAACATACAATTTTATGCATACTGCCACCACTTAAACAAGGTTAGCAGCAGTAGGGAAGCTTACTCTCTGACTGGGTAGCATTTAAGGTATCCTGTATATCAACACTTTCAATTACCAATTTTGCGATTGAATCTCTAATACAGTCAGTTGTGAAAACCTCTAGATGGAGACTTTTCGGTTTCATTGTATCTTTGATGCATTGTGGCAAGCACGAAATTGCTCCTGCGTTTGATTGCAAATGTTCTATTTGTGAGACTGTTTCTTCTTAGAAGAAAGTATATTTACTACCCAATTCTGAAAAAAAATTGTTATGCCTCATTTCACTTAATAAATTTCATTGTTAGATACTAACCATAAAGCTTTAACAGGAGCTCCTGTGTTGTTAAATTTCGCAGCTCTTCCAGCTCCTCGCCAGGTGGATTATTTACTACTTCCTGTTGGGAATTCGAGGGTGGAGCATTCTGCGCTTGCGGGTTAGGAGGGATGGAATTTGAGGGTGGAGCATTCTGCGCTTGCGGTGGCAGGGTAAGAGGGATGGAATTTGAGGGTGCAGCAATCTCCGCTTGCGGTGGCGGGGTTAAAGGGATCTCTACATTTAATGCGGAGATATCTATGTCACTATCAAAATGAGCCTGTCTGTCTTCTTCATTTCTCGAATGAAGGTCCTCTCCTCCTGCAAAGTATGTGCCAATATCTTGAGAGTCCTCTACATCCTCGTATGTGTCTCTCCATGCTTCTGGTGTTATTAACAGTTCTCTCATATAGTTAGTGTCAACCACTCTAGGAGTTAGGGGTTTACGGGGTGGTTGTGGGAATGGGGGCAGTGCTGTTCTCGCAGGTTCTGAGATTATTGGTTGGCTACTGCCTTTCTTCTGTGACGGCTTCTTCGCTTGCTTCCTTGTTGGCTGAGAATTCTCATCGTCACTTGAATCAAACCGGGCAGGTGCTGTGATTGTCCTCTTTCTGCGTCCCCCTGCTTCTGCTTCTGAAGCAGCCGATTCTCCGGAGTGCTCCATAAAGTAGAGCATCCTCGTGAATGCTTCCTTGTAGGTTGCTGCAACAAAAACCGTATCATGAAAATATTAGCATGAAATTGTAAGATTGTATCATAAAGTGACCAGATGATTTTGGTGCCCCCTCCCTCTGAGAAACAGGCATTCCTAATTTTCAAGCATATTGGGTCTGAACGCATGATCTATACATGATTACAAGAGCCACTCTTCAGTTTAAGAAAACTTACTATCTAGTAACATTTCCGCTAGATTTCACCGGCTCTCTCCTTTCATCCTGTCTATGAAATTGTGGAAAAATAAAGGGACATGAAGATAGAAATGCTTTCATGAGGTAATGTATCTTGCAAGATTAGCTGAACGTAATGATTTGGAGGGAAAAATTAAGATATTGGTGGTCTTACTTACTTTCAGGAAACAAATTGAGTAAAAAACAAATTGGTGGCAGAACTCGACTTTTCCAAACTTTCCATTTGCGCATTAATCCTCTAGGGCATGAATTAATTTTGGATCTTAGACTGGGGNCACTAATTTATTTTGAAGCTAGCATAAAAAACATAGAGCACCAAATTTTTCATCAAAATTTTAAATTTTCAGGAATGCGTTATTCAAAACAAAGAAAAAACTGGTGAAAATTTGCAACTTTATGCTACAGAGAAAAACCCCCAAGGAATTCTCCGTGACCATTATTTGGGGGAAAAAAAGATATCTATCTCAAACTGCACAAACTTAGGACGAGGAATATTTCTACAGAATGATTTAGATTTGGATTGGAATTTTGCAATGTGACAAATCCAAAGTGGAAGGCATGTATCAGAATTTTGCAATGTGACGAATCCAACGTGGAAAGCATCTGGCGTATGCAAGTGGCACTTCCTTGTTCAACTTGGACATAAGAGGTGGTATCCTAACAGTGTATAAGGTAGCTTGTCAACCTTTTTTAGAAATTTACGTTATGAGACATGTAAAAATTATGCACACAAACATTGTCCTTACGTATATGATCTTGGAAGAGGCGAATTTTTTCAGCACTCCAATCCTCGGTGGGTTTGACGTTATCACGCCTCTGCAAAAATTTTGTCATGTCTTTGACCTTGGTCGGATAGAAACAGTAGTTAGGCGCCTCTTTTGAAATCCAATTTGATCTTATTATAACTAATCCATCGGCATGCTCTTCTAGATTGACAATGGCAAAGGTAAACTGAACAGCTGCCATTCTTTCTGCCTGTGAAAAGAGGTAAGAGGGCGTTTGATTAGTGATCGAAGTACACACAGGTGAACAGTACATTCAAGATGAGGAGAAAAAGTCTGTTTTCTTCAAATACAGAATCTAAGACATATACTTTTATTCAACATTAGTCTTAATTAATACATATTTTCTAACTTTTTTCTCTGTCAATAGTAGGCGCTGGAAAGGAAGAGATAGGATTGAAACAATCAAGTATCCTTTTTTTTTCTCCCTCTCTTAATTTGGAAGAAAAACCAAACATAATTTCTTCCTTTTATGTTGACTTTCCTGTTTTCTTTTGTATAAAATAAGAGGAATGTATTTTCCACCAAATAGATACAAAAATTCTTATGTAAAAATTTGATCTACTTTCTCGCTGAAAATCACATACTTTTCATGGAGGAAATGTATCAGTCTTTTATGCAGATGGCATTTCATTCACTTCGGTTAGATCTTTTTTCTAATTCATTGCTTTTCCAAGATTTTGCTTGTTATTTCTCAGGTGCTTTTCCTCTCTCCCTGAGCTAAGTAGGTAAATGACCATTTTGCTGATTGAGAAGAAAAAGAAATTCATGCAGGTTATTCCCAAGATTCTATCACAGGAAGCAGAAAACTAAGCTGGGAACTGCAAATTATAAAAAAAAATCCACCGTCCAGAAGCACAAAGGGCAGGATATTGGGATACTTTCATTTCAGTGAGGATGAATTCAGCAGGGTTACCTCTCATCTTTCTAGGCCCCCCCCCCCCCCCNCCCACGGGAAAATCCCACTTGAGCGAAACACATAATGCTTTAGAACAGTAGTTTCCATCCATTAGCATGACATAATGTACAGAAAGTTTCCCGTTCCTGCATTTTCATACGCTGAAATCCGAAATGTTAGGACCTCCCACCCTTGAAAAGCGACAACGCTATTCGCTACATAACTCTCACCCTTTCCCCCAAAATTTATATTGCCCGTGGTTTATAGGAACCAAAAAAACTTAATGATCCTAGGTGATCATCGCTCATCTTAGTACACCAAGGATCACCCAAAGCCTGCCAAGTAATGCTATGCTCTTCCAAAAATAGAATTTAAGACAAAATTTGTTGATCACCTTACCTTTGAAGTGAGATAAGATTTGTGAACTACAATTTGCTAAGATAATATCGGTGCTAATCAGAGTGGAGAAGAGGCAGTGCAACAAATTCCGAGCGGAGAGGCAGGAGAACATACTTCATTTTGATGGTGGTAACAGGCCAGCATCGAACAGGAGACAACTTGCCTACTTTGTAAATACCCACAAGTGAGCTGTAGCAAGGAGAGGTAAAAAATTCTGACCGCTGTATGAAATATCGCCCGACAATGACAAGACCTTTCCTTCGCGGGGAATATGAGACCCCCTCTACAACAACAATTTTGCCATCAGATGTTCCAACACATGCATCTGATTTTTTAGTGGAAACCAAGAATCCTTTGATTGTAATGGAAGAATAATGCGGTTGGCATAGATCATCGTAAGGAACACCATGAGCACATTCTTTACCAGAGAGTTGTATTTCGTCCGATTTTGAGATGTCACCAATTGGTCTCTGAGATTCTGAAGCAAATCGTTCACCAAGCCTTCTGATGACTTGCATTAATTCATCACTGGGTTTGCGTACCATATTCTTTAGAACTTGCAGGAAGTTCTCGAATTTAAATGCAGACACTAAATTCAGATGTCCGAACCGCTCAGCATCGTCTGCCAAGTGAATAAGGTTGTGGAAATTGTGCGTGATGAATTGAGTACCGTACAAAATTTTAAAAGCTTCAACGAAGTTTAAAAGTAATTGGCGGGCGTACTGGATGAATCCATCTTGTAAAACCAACGTTGGGCATAGTAAAATCCTCATAGCCACTGACAAAACAAGAAAATTTTCATATTTCTTCTTTTCCAACACAGATTTCAGAACTACTGGACCTGTGTAAAGTAAGAACTGCCGGAGCTCTGTCGCTTTCCACCGCTTTATCAAATCCAGGTGTCTTGGTTTGCGGCAAAATTCAGAGGGTATATAGGCTCTAAGGCCGTAAAGTTGTTGGGAACATTGAAAGACGGCAGTGGAGCCAAGCTTAAAAGGAACAGTACCAAGAACCCAAAGCTTCAGCATTTTTCGTTGCACTCCTAATAGGACCACATGCATAAAATCTAAGCAAAAAGAGCTAGTCATATTTATTCCAGTAACACTTTCAAAAATCGATGCTTTGTGGTGAAAGTTGGAGTCAGTTTTCTTTAAAAAATCGTCATGGGTTCGTGGGGGGGCGTTTGTTTCGAGAAAAACAACTTTACCACCAATCCACTCGCCTTTCTGTGTACAACGAGTGCAGGACCAGTAGCCAGTATGACCTTTACATCCCAGAATGAAAGATTTTGCAGGTGCATCGCAGCAAACACAAAAAACTTCAACCGGCAGAACCCTTCCATCGGGGAGAAGGACTCCTGACTTAATTAACGCCTTCAGCTCTTCAATAAATTTTGAGAGATATTTCTCTGCATCTGCAGGTTTACTGTATCCATGATATAGACCAGCCATGAATACTTGACCAAGCCCCAGTATTGAAACTAAAATTGGCCAAAACTGGCTATCAGTGCTCTTAAACAGAGGCAATCCATCAAAATTAAGGATCAATTTCAGCTTGGTCATAGAGGGTGGTATGTGTTTAAGGCCTGGTGTTAAACTATTCATCAAACCAAAATGATAGTACTGGCCGTCATCAATTGCTTCCGCTTTCTCTGCAACAGGAGTTTTCAGCAGAGTGCGAGCATCGTTTGGGATGTGAGAAAAATTAGGAAATTGCCTTAGGAGCTTCAATAAAGCTGAAAGAGCATTCATTTTTACTTTATACAACAGAGCCCATTGTATTAACAGTTGCAGAATGTTTAAAGAGCGGTCCTGTTCAAGATTTCTAAATGCTTCCTCGGCTGAGTGGTGAACGAATGTGTCGTAGAACGCTTCCTCATTAATTATTTCTGCTTCCGAGTCTTCGCTGGCACATAAAAAATCAGAATTTGAATCGCTTTCATCAATATTACTGACGGCATCAACATCTGAAACACTCCTATCAGAACTGATCTCTGTTGCATGAAGAGACGCTTCCTCGTTCAAAGAGCTGTTCTCTTCAATATCTGCATCGTAGTTGTAATGTGTCTCACACGATTCATTAGAACCAAAAATATTAGAAACATTTCTCGCAGCCTTCAGTTGCCGAGATTGTTTCTCAGCAAGTGCTGTAAGGTGCTTACGTTTGCCCCTTTCTGTCATTTCATGGAACCGTTTCCTAGTTTTTACTACTATTTCAGCTTCAGGCTCCATCTGAAAAGAGAATCATTTTGAAACTTAGAATCTGATTTCCCTGCAGCAAAAGAAGGCAAAGAGAAAATGAGAGACCTCAACAAAAAACCTTTTCATGAAATCTAAGATTCAATTATCAAGGCTCGACGAAAGAACAGGGTCTCTGTTATGCTTCCCTTTCCGAGGTTTGCGATTTAATTTAATTAGAATCAAAGAGAAAGCGCATCATAATTAGCAAAAATAGCAAGCTCCAAACCTCCTATAAATTAATAAAATGAACATGGTTATAGCGTAACTGCTGATGGGTAGTGTTTGTTCTCAAAAATTAGATGTGCACCAATCGAACCAGGTAAGTTAGGAAACTGAGCCGAATTTCATTTGAATGAGACCAATAGATACCCAAACATGCAATTTCATCTTCCACCAGTTTCAATTAACTCGCATAAGATGCACCCACTTTCATTGTATCAATTTCCCCACCCACGGTTGCCCCTGTCCATTGGTTGGCAACATCCGTCTTGCTACTGTAAAAACTCAAGATGTTATGAGGAAAGCTTTTATGATTGGCGAAATTTTTCATTGAGAATCAATTGCTTATATTTCTTGCTTTTAAACCATTTCCAACAGGCATAATAAATTTAAATCGGAGAAACCTTACCTTGAGCAAGGCTGCAGCACCTCCACTTTTTGTCGGATGAATGTAAGTAACAGAGAGAAGTTCAAAATGCAGTGATGGCAGATGGCACACAAGGATGATAATTTTAAAACAGAATAGGACCTCCTGCAGAGAGAAAAAAAAAATCTGATGAAATATCACAAAAAATTTAGCAAAATTACACCAAAAATAAAATTTCACATCGACCCTATTCTAAAATCTCAAGAAGGAAACTGAAAGAGCCAACAATACTAAGAAGCCTCTGAAATAGGTCAAAATTGATCATTGACATCTGATGGAACCTTACAGATTAAATACAATGAGTACCATATATTAATTATTAAAATCTGCAAAATTATCGCACTTCAAAGGGGGAAAAATGGTCTACCTTCATGATCAGTTCTGTCACTTGAAGTATTCATATTTTACTTTACCTTCATTATTAAATCTCTCAGGCAGTCTGCAAAGCACCCTGTAGTTGCTTCTACTGAAAGTTCATTACATGTTGATTATAATATTATGCGGAGTCTTGATTGCTCCAGAAGTGAAATAAGAGTTTCTCACTTAACAAGGATAATGGGATTCCTGCACCAGATATCCACCGCTTACATGAAAGATGTCTGCTCTCAAGTTTGTTCCATAATGCTCGTTTCTTCTCATCTCAAAATATAAGCAGATTTTTTCTATTAAAAAAGATTTGGTCCCAACAGGACAAGATTATTCTAAGAGGGGCTATACCTGCACACGAACTTAGGGCACATACCTACTACAATTTGGGGTGAATGCCCACAACTGAACCACGAGCAAGAAAAATTTTGAGCACCTTTCTATGTACAAGAGAGTGAAAGGAGCTGCTTTTAAGCTGTGTTCCTGGCTGCACAATTCTAATAGCTAGCAGTTGAATACATTGCGGGAAATACAACACCAGGATCCTGACTGTTGAAACTTTAACTGGCTGTGTCGGCAAGACAAAACAAGACAAAGCCCTATCTGCTCCGTGTAATATAATGAACTACTCATCATGAATATTAAAATTACGCAGGAGTGAAATAAGACATTCTCAACCATGACTGAATACAGGTATTTTGGAAAGAAAATACATCCTCTTGGGCTGGAGTGGGAGGCTCCAATCCATGTTCACGTTTAACGGGTAGCATCTGTCAGCACTCTTTATCCTATCTCAGTTTACTTTCCCGACTTTATCTGATTTCACCCTTAAATTTCTGTCTCTCTTCACCTGAAACATGATTCGATCGCCTGCATGGCCGAGAGGAAGAATCTTGTGGGACGGTACTTGATAATTGCATTCCCTGACTAAATCTACTGTTTTCTGGCGGAAAGGAACTCAAATAAAATCACCCCCCATGTAGGCGAACGGTTGAAAATGGTAAAATTAACCGAAACAGGGCCCATTTGCGGTGATTTGAGGTTACCTGGCATGAGTACTCTGAATATGTACGGATCAGCAAAAGATACTTTCAAACAGAGATACGAAGTGACTGTTAAATAACTGCAGATGATTAAAACACAAAAGCTTTGATGAAGTATGTACTTACAGGGAGGATTACAAAAGTAACGGCTAACAGCAACTTCGCGGCTGGGAGGAGGAGGATGAAAACGATGAAAACTTACAACTTGGACTCGGAACAAGAAACTCAAACAACAGAAACAGATGCACATACACACGAGCAGCGATCACGTTGCGGTCGGCGGCGCGAGTGAGAGCGAAATAAGATAGGCGATGCGCTGCGCATACCCGATGGACCAGGGCGAGAGAGACAGAGGGCGCTTCTCGCAGTGGGAAACCCATCTCTCCGCGCCACATCCAAGAGCGGGGTAAAACCTGGCGCGGACCAGCGGTAAAACCTAGGCACCACATGTCCCGGGGAGCCGCCTCTCAGGCGCCTCATCAACGCGTAACAATCGCCGCCCCTGGACAGCTCTCCAGAGTGGCTCCGGAAAATAAATGGCAGAGAAGAATCCTGCTAACTGGGTATGTTTTGGTCTTGATTGGTACGTACCAGATTTTGTAATACAAATACACAAACTATTCAGAAAGTAGTGGGACAAATGCTATAACTTCAAAAGTAGGTAAGCTAGGTAGAAGCTTTTTTGGTTTTATCTGAAAGACAGGCCCAATATCTTTCTAAGAGACCAAGAACATATCGTTTGGTCGAAAATTCATCAAGTCATGGCGGCTCGAATAACGAGAGTTATGTTGCCACCTACGACTTTTAACAAGGATTTTCGCTCATTGAAATTGGTCTCTACAACTACAACTGTCCGATACTATGTTGCTCCCAAAACAACTTATAACCACCCTCAAGAACTACTTGGCAACATTTTACCGCAGTCGTCATCCGACTACTTGGGGTATGTCAACCCTTTAGAAGTGTTGTTAGTAACAGGTGATATTCCCTAGATAGGTAAGCCAGCTCTATTCGAATTTTGGAAATGTGACCCAGGTTTTTATTTATTACGTGATGTAGTTGTAAGTTCTCTCATTTACACAATGCATGAATACATTTTTTGTCACAGTTTGTTCTGAAGATCTACCGGTCCGATTTTTATGATCTTGCGGCTGTCGATTGTAAATCGACGGTGTAAGTCGGCAATCACATAACTCTGTTTGCGACGTCGCAGACTTCCTGTCACACTGTATTTTTTAAACGGAAAACTACTCAACGGAAATTTGTTAAAACTGCCGAGATTTTTCTTCTCTGTGCGAAGAACATTCTGCATAAACTTCAAGGAATGATGTCAATTTGTTCTCCTTTAAAAAAGGTACAAAGAGGCGGAGATTTTTAGACACCGCAAACGAGATATGCGATTGCGGACTTACGCCATCGAAATGTCCCTCGATGAGTCTGTTCTGTTTAGATAACTCACAATTTAGGTGTCTTATGAACTCGTGGCGTGTGATTAAAAATGTTTAGAGGGAAATGGACTGATGATATTTATGTTTGTTGCAGATGATAGAGTGGGCGCGGTGGATGGTGCTTGGACTCAGCGTGGTGGCAAGCGTGGCCACGCCGGCTATTAACGAAATCAGACCGAACAAACCCAACAAGCCCGGCAGATTTCTCTCACTCCCTGTCCCCCAAAAGTGCAGTCAAAGTAAGCACTTTTCGCATTTCGTTCGCCTCCAACTCCAAATCAGTGGCGTAACGGGCCAACCTTCCCCCTCCCCCTTCTCAAGACTCTTCTATGCAAGAGGGCTCTGGTCCAGCAACCTGAGGGCTCTTTGTTTTTCACTCTTAAGTTCCAAGCACAGTGCACGTTCTCTAATTCGAAGCCCTTTAATTCGAAAAGCTCCATAATTCGAAGGCGAAACTGATCCCCTCGAAAAAACCCCTTTAATTCGGAAATTTGCAATGTATTTTGTCCCCTTCGATAATTCGAAATTTTGAGCGCTAAGCCGACTCGTTAATCAACTCTATGATTCGAAGTGATCGGCTCCGCGCGCTATGTAATTCGAATTAACATTCTGGACACTCAGTAATTCGAAATCTTTTCGCCCGACGGTCTGTTATTCGAAGTCGTATCGGCGGATAGCTAAGGAATGTCTGAACCTCTGTTTATTCACCCAGGTACACGCCGAAAAAGATGAGCTGTGTAATCAGTGCGTAAGCGATACAGTGATAGTGCGTGTTTAATTTATCCGTAATGGAAAAGTACGGCAAGTTAACTTTTGCCTAAAAAAAAAGCAGGAAAAAAGGAGCATTAGCAACAATCGAAAACAACATGGACCGTGCGCGGTATGATGTCCTCATAGGCACAGTCCAAGATAACTGACTTCTTTGCTAAGTAGTAATCTTTTTCACGATCAAATCATTTTGTCTTTTTTTTTTTTTAAAAAAAAAGAGAAAAAGTGTCGGGAGTCATCAGTCGTAAACTCATTAATTTGCTTCATTTTAAAATGAAAACTTGGCAGAAATGTTTCCTGTGGCAGGAAATGATGAATGGTGGCACTCCGCTCTGATCTTACTTTGAACAAAAAAGTGCGGCCCGTCAAAATTTGATGGTAGATGCGGTGACCACCAGTCATCAGCATGTCTACTTTGATCGAAATTGGTTCGGAATTTGATCGTCTATGCAGGGCTTCAAATGTTAAAAAAGCTAAGTAAACTGAGTACATTTAACTTCATGCTTAAGATTATAAGCGATCGGTTAAAGGGCGATTTTCTCGAAAATCTTTGTGATATAAGCCTCCGATCGAGAAGGGAGAAGATGGGAGGGGAGGGTATATATGCCACTGCTTCGACTGTTTAGTTCATCGTTCCAAGAAACACTTTGCTCGCATAAATCATACTCTTCGGTACCTACTTGTTCATCTATTGTGCCTCACCGAATTAAGTTTTCAGATTTGTTAACGAACGTTTGTTCATGACCGCCAATAGCAATTTGATGGCAACGTTGTCAATAGCGATCAGTCAAGACCTGGCCTCGCTTGTGCGAACTTGTAGCAGACGTGATCCTCTTGAATAAATCATGCTTTTCATCAAACTTGCGTTGAGCTTTTTAACACATCCACCATCCCTGTACTTGTTTTCCCAATTGACAAAGAAAATTTGAAACTTTGGGGATGTTCATAAGTCTAAAGTGGTGACTTTTTAGTTCTCCCAAATTTGTGGGAGACGGTTCCCTCTAAGGGGGCAAGGGGCAACTTTTTTTCAAATAGCAACCCCCCTTGTGTGATACCTCATTCAAAAGAAAACACACAAAAAAAATGTCGCAAACCGCAGGTCAAAATGTTGATTTTTCACAAAATGGCGGCCGGTCAAAGTTCAAAATACCGGGAATTTGGCATCCGTTTTTGTCGATGGATCGGGATGAAACATGGTAACTACAATGGAATTTATTGGGGCAAGAAAACGATCGAGACATTACTTTTTCCAGGTATTTAGTCTAAGTTTAGTCCTTTTCTAAATGGCGGCGGTCAAAATTATGACCTGGAGCGGGAAGTGGATATTTAGACTGCATATCGGTGGATTTGCATGAAACTCTGTATGCGGGGGCGTTTCGGCAAGAGAAAAATGAATCTTTCATTGGATTTTTGAAATTTCGAATAACTTTAAGTGACGGCGGAAAAATGGCGGAAACTTGGTATTCCGGACGTTTGGGTACCTAATGATGATTCGCATGAAACTTGGCCGCCATTTTGAAGTATGAACATTTCAAAAATGTAATGTTTTTCTAGCCAGAAATCACCAGGACACTGAGTCTCATGCGAATCATCAGTGAACGTCCGTAATAACAGGTTCCCACCATCATTCCGCCGTTACTTGAAGTTAATCAGAATTTCAAAAATCTAATGCAAGATTCGTTTTTCTCTTGCCGAGATGCCCCCGCATACCAAGTTTCATGCAAATCCACCGATAAGCAGCCTAGATATCCACTTCCCGCTCTAGGTCGCAATTTTGACCGCCGCCATTTTGAAACGGACTGAATTTCTTGGGAAAGTAATGCTAGAGTCGTTTTTCTCGTCCCCTCCCTATAAACGTCACATCACCGAGTTTCAGCCAAGCCCAATTTGCCGACAAAAGCAGAGATGCCGAATTTCCATTACTTTGAATTTTGACTGGCCGCCATTTTGTGAGAAATCAACATTTTGACCTGCGGTTTGAGCCAAAAATTTTCTTTTTGTATTTTCTTTGGAATGAAGTGTCACGAAGGGGGACGTTGCCATTTGGGAAAAAAGTTGCCTCCGCTTTTTTAGAGGGGGCTGCTCGAAGGCGAGTCAAAAAACATCGACCTTCGAATTTCAAAATTGTATAGGGGGAAAAGTTGCGCCATGGTATCAAATTAAAGTGTGCCAAAGCTTTCTCTGAAAGAAAAAAACAAAATTTACAGGTGCCCCTATTGCAATTTGTGTAAAAAAATCGCATAATTCATGCGGTTTTTTGCGATTTTATCCCACTGTTTAAGCATGATAGAAATTGGTTAGAGCCATATTTTTTGTGCCCCCACGCCCACATATGCCCTCACAAATGCAAAAAAAAAAAAACAGTATTGCGGCCAGTTACGAATCGTATATGTCAACGACCTTATTGATTTTTTAGGTGACTTGGCAACCCTGCAGAAAGTGTATTTTTGCTCTTCAGGAACCATTTATATAGTTGATTAGGGGAAAATATTAGTTTTTTGGCTGCGGGCAATTTTCCTCCTATTTTCAAGTTCACGGTTAGGCCGAGTCGCTCGATGTAGTCGAAATTACAGCGATTTTTGCCATTTGTTTGTCCAACTTGGCAAGCATGTAAAAAATCGGGCCTTCAATTTCGGAGACTCTTTTTACAGTAGAATACGAGGATATAAAAATTATTTTGCCAGAGAATGTTTTTATGCCTCCGTCCGTGGAGCCCTTACCAACGTAGAAAAACACGATTATCGACGTTTCAGCGATTTTTGCCAATATTTTGAAGTGACTTGGCAACCACGTTAAAATCCTTAAATATTTTAATTATTTTGTTTATGTATTTGAGCTTTTAATGATAGTTAATCGTTTATTTATTCAAAGACCTCTTACTTTATCATTGTTCAATTTAATTTATATCAGGTAAAATACAACCGTTCAATTAATTAAATTAAATATTTAAATAAAACTGAAATGAAGAATTAAAAGTATTTAATAATTAATTATTTGAATCATTAAAATTTAATAATTCAATATGTTTGTGAATTTTTGTATCAATAAATAGACGTTTAATTAACAATTAAAGCTCAAATACGCAAACAAAATAATTAAAATATTTCAGGCTTTTAAAGTGATGAATGGGAGTCAAGTTTCGTCTCTTTCTTGCTTCTGAGGAGGTACAAAAAAAGACCAAAACGAAATACGTCTTACCGGATCTTTCTCTGCCATGAAAAGAGTCTCGAATATTGAAGGCCAAAATTTTGCGTGGTTGCCAAGTCACTATAAAACATTGCCAAAAATCGCTGAAACGTTGATATAAATCGTGTTTTTCTATGATGGTAAGGGCTCCACGGAGGCATATAATCATTCCCTGGTAAAATAATTATTATATTCTCGTATTCTATTGTAAAAAGAGTCTCCAAAATTTGAAGGCCCGATTTTTTATATGCTTGCCAAGTTGGACAAATAAATGGCAAAAATCGCTGTCATTTCGACTACGTCAAGCGACTCTGCCTAACCGTGAACTTGAAAATAGGAGGAAAACTGCCCGCAGCCAAAAAACTAATATTTTCCCCTAATCAACTATATAAATGGTTCCTGAAGAGCAAAAATAGACTTTCTGCAGGGTCGCCAAGTCACCTAAAAAATCAATAAAATCGTTGACTTATACGATTCGTAACCGACCGCAATAGTGTTTTTTTGCATTTTTAAGGGCATATGTGGGCACAAAAAATATGTTGATCCAAAAATTAATTAGCATACCGTGAAGGACTATTAAACGTGAGTTATTACTCCAAAAATGAGGGCTCTAGCAAATTTCTATCATGCTTAAATAGTGCGATGAAATCGCGAGAAATCTCATGAATTATGTGATTTTTTTACGCGAATTGCAAAAGTGGCACCTGTAAATTTTTTTTTTCAAAGAATGCTTTGGCACACTTTAATTTGATACCTAGGCGCAACTATTTCCCCCTATACAGTTTTGAAATTCGAAAGTCGATGTTTTTGACTCGCCCTAGCTGCCCCTCAAAAATCTGGGTCGACTAAAAAGTTGTTACTTCAGACCTAGGAACATTTCCAAAGTTTTAAATCTCTTAACTCAATTAGGAAACAAGTTACAGGGGTGGTGGGTGACTTTTAGATAATCCTGTATTCTTATTTGAATGAATCTCGTCCAATATTCTGACATCATTATTTTCATAATTCACTCTTTGAATTTGTATTGACAGGGCCAAAAGAGTTTTTCTACCGAGGACATAACTACTTCTACAGTGGGCATCTGCCGCAGTATCGTAACACCAAATTGGATTGGTTGGATGCCAGAAACATCTGCCGAGAATACTGTATGGATCTTGTTTCCATGGAAACTCAAGAGGAAAACAACATGATTTTTAGACTCATTCAGCAAAGTAAGCTCTTTTCACCCTTTAATTGCCTATTATTTTTTTATCCCAATTCATTTCCAAGTGTTAAACCTAGAAATTGTTTAACCGAGCATATACTCACATTGGAAGGTTGTTCAGACAATTAATCTCTCTGCCCTCCTATCCCCTCTAAAATATGAATAGGTGAAAAATAACATTTAGTTGTCAAATCAGACTTTTAGGCATGTTAATTAGGTACCGACCAATCTTCCTCCATTTCCTTGATAAGAGCAAAATACAGTCGGCCCTCGTTATAACGGCACTCTTTATAGCGGATAACTTGCTGTAGCAGCAAGATTAGCTGTCCCCTTGCCGTTCCTAAATTAATCATTATAGATATTTTATGGACCTCCTTTATAACGCAATCTCTCAATAGCGGCGAAATGATCCGGTCCCTTGAAGTCTACTATGGAGAGGGCCTACTGTATGTGAAAGTATGACGCAAGATATAAAATTTTAAATAACATTGAAATCATTCACTTTTGGCCGTCTCTAGAGAACACAATTAGAAATATGATCCTGTACTTAAATACGTCCTAACCCATTTGTTTAGCCAAGAGTTAAAAACATCAAAGGCATAGGTATGTTGGGTAAAAAGTCAAGCAGTCTTCTCACATGATCCTTTATAAACTGCAGTGAAAATCATGGAATGCTCTACATAGGTCAGAACACCACTTTCACCCAGGGTCATATTCCTAGTCGCTCCCTAAACAGCTCCTTTCCCTGTCCTTTCCTTAGGAGGCCCCATTTAGTTTACATTACTTGTTGTAGAAAGCCCAACACCATGTATTTCCATTGCGGTGTTTCAAAATCTCCGCTCCTAGTTTATTTTGTTGAAGAGAAACAAGGCGACTTCATATCTTGTAATTTGAACAGAATATATATATTCCTCTGAAAAAGAAGAAACATGAAGGAAGTTTTCAAGAAATTAGGAGGTTGACTATTTTTCTCAGGAAAAAATAAAATATGATGGGAGGTCTACAACATTGCAAACAGAGACAGGTGGTCCGCACTTCAGCCATCAAGAGGTAGGTAGCTACACAAAAAATCCCATTTTTGCAAACCTCTGGTAAAATACAGCAGTGTAACTTTGGATATGGATTCTTAAAAGGGATTTACTCCAACAAAAAATACCATATACAAGAGAAAACATTTTGCGAGTTTTGTAAATTTTAAGAGAGATTTGCTTCCAACTTAAAATTTGTCAAATCATAAAATTTTTTCTCTCATATATTTTACTTTTTGCATAATTTTCTGAAGTTATACCGCTGATTTTCACCTGAGGTTGGCAAAACTACCCTAATTCACAATGTAAATTAAATGGGGTCTTCCCAAGAAAAGGAAAGGAACGACTACGAATAAAACCCTCAGACTCCTTCAAATCTAAAGATTTGTGATAGTTATTACATTCCTGAAGTAAAACTAAGAGGCCTTGCTTTGGAAACTTGAGTTGTCTCTGAAGCTCTCTCATTCTCATCTTAAAAAGCTCATTAAATTGAACCTGCAAAGCAGCACATATGATCGCCAATATTGATTAACCCCTTAAATCATCACTTGCTCTATTTAAGAGCTTGTTTTTTTACACTGTGTTTTCCAGCAGTGGTCTATGTGATGTCTCGATGGTAAATTTCCAAATTACGTATCTTGGTTTGTGACGTTGCAGACCAGCTTCTGTCATACTTTATTCCCTAGGTAAATGTAAAACTACTCCAACATCAACTTTTGAAATCTTTACCTCTCTGTGTGAATAATATACTATGAAAATTTCAAGGATCATATTGAGTCATTCTCCTTTGAAAAATAAAAAGGGAGTGGAGATTTTGAAACACCACACTTTCGGAGTTTCACTGGCGATCTAGCTCATTTACATTTGAACTCTATTAGGGTCTGATTTTAAAAGTCTGCTTAGTTATTTTTGGAGCAGGTACTCAATTGCAAAATGCTAATCTTATTACTTTTTCATCTAGTCAATGTTGTTACAATTGTGAATGCTTGTTACCTGCAAGAACTGATTTTCAAATGAAGGAACTAGTGGTGAAGGCTCAAAATTGACTTTAGTTGCTTTTGTGAACAGATGATGTACCCTACATTTGGACAAGTGGGCGCCTATGCGACTTCAAAGGGTGTGAAAACCGACGAGACCTTGAGCCGAAAAGCTTGTTTGGATGGTTCTGGTCAGCAACACGAGTAAAAATGGCACCAACTAATCAGATTCCACAGGGCTGGGGCTACAACGCTTGGAGCCAGAGCGGGCATAAAAAAGTGCCACAGCCTGACAATGCCGAATTTGACATTAACCGCACAAATGAATCCTGCCTGAGTGTCCTCAACAACGTATATAATGATGGCATCGCTTGGCACGATGTTGCTTGTTACCATGAAAAACCCTTTGTCTGTGAAGATAGTGAGGAACTTCTCAACTACGTTGCCTCCACGAATGCTGGAATCCAACTCTAAATTTTCAATGCTCATTTTCGATGCAGCCTCTTGTATTCACTTTTTGCCCTCTCTTTCCCCTTTGCCCCTGCTCAGTTTCTCGTGGTCTCCTGAGATGTGCACGACAGGAAGTCATTTCCTGCTGTATATTTCTTTAATTCATTCCAACACTACTAAAGTAGATGAAGCCGAAGCAAAGGCATCGGCCAATGTGCCCAAAGTAGAGGTCCCTTTGGGTAATCTTGGTGAATATGCTTCCTTGGCAATTGTGTTTATCAAGCAAGTGTCAATATCACACTTAAAAGCAGTAGGTAAGAGTTATAATCTGAGTAAGAGTCAGTAACAGAAATACAGTATTTTTAAGGCTTTGTGAGGCTATCAATTTTCGTCCCAGCAAGTTTCAGACATTTTTAAAAAAGACGCCTAATGAACCTATAGTCTGTTGTCGGATCTCCACCAATTTGCCCTACGGCAAGAAGCATTTCCATCTCAAATGTTAGTGGCTTTTACAACTTTGCTGAGCATCGACCTAATGATCCATCACAGTCATATTCTCATGACTGTGAAAGTAATTCTGGAGCATCAAGGTTTTTGGTGATTCCATGCAGGACAACCTCTCAACATTCTTGGTGTATTCTGTTTAAATCTTACTTCGTCAATTTATATAAAAATAAATTCTTATGGGGAACATCCCTCTCAATTGTTTTACTCCAAGATCATGAAATTTAGAAATTGTTGTCAATACTCTTACAGGGAAAACTTGATAAATGAATACATCAAAGAAAGAAGTGCACTCGCGTGTATTCTAAACTTCAAGTTGCTATGCTACCGAAAGATTTGATCTTTTACCTATGTTCCGCATTTACTTCTTGCAGACAATGAATATATTTTCTTCCACTCAAATTGTCACTATACCAAAAATTTTATTTGCCTTCTGTAAATATAGTAAGTATTTGAATTATGTCTCTTTTTATTTATTCTTTGAATGCGTGAGTGCATGACTCAATCTTCAGCGTGTCTTTAAAATCCCTAAAGGTACAATTACACATGTTTATGTAGTCAATTATTAAAGTTAAAGTTTTCATCAATTCCTAGCCATGTAGGAATCCCAGGGAATAAAAGAGCTGACAGTCTAACAAAACTGCTCTCCTTGGCCAATAATATCAATGACGAGCTCTATTACAAGCAACTAATCCCTCATTTTAAAAAGCAAGCATACCTTGAATGGAACCAAGAATGGATAGAATGTACCCGGAAGGGGCAGAAGTTAAAATCAATTTCCTCAAAAATTAATCGAAAACCCTGGTTTGATAAACTAAAATGGAATCGTAGTGAAATAAAAAACTTAATTAGACTTCGAATAGAACATGGAAACTTCCCAGCTCATTTAAGTAGACTAAATCTGAAAGACTCAGAATTATGCGATTGTGGAATATACGGTGACTTAAACCATATATTATTTGAATGTCAAAATCTAATAAATCGAGATGTATTGATTCAAAATCTAATAAAAAATAACTACTTTCCTCCATTTAACGTCCCATATATACTTCATATCCCGAATCCCAAGATATATAAAATCATTGCTAATTTTCTAAAAGTCAATAATATAAATCTTTAATAAAATATAAAAATAAAAAAAATTAAAAAAATAAAAAAAAATAAATAAATAGTAAGTACCTAATTAGATTTTAAGTTATATCTAACTGTATTAGTAATTTTATAGGAGTAAACACTATCTGGTTCGCTGCGGGTGGTGGTCGCTTAGGAATGTTTTTAACTATTTACAGGAAGACCAGGGACGGACTGGCCCTAAATTAAGTATGGGGCGGGCCCCTAGGGGGGGTCTGGGGGGGCCCCCCCAGTAGAAGGGGGGTCCAAAATTTTGAAAATTAGGCCCTTTTAGAATGAATTTTACGCTATTTTAGACCCTATTCTTTAATATTATTTTTGAAACATTATCCAAAAAGAGACCAGAAATGCAAAACTTAGTATATTTTCTTAAACTGGATGAAAAAATGAGAATCCGTTGTATACTTGGAATTCAACTTTTATTTTCCTCTTCCAACGAAAAATTGTGCCAAAGCTAAATTAGTATACAGAAGATACATAGAATCAAGTAGCATAGTAATAGTGACAGTCTAAAAAGAACACATTCTGAAAAACACAGTTCGGATTTTTTTGTTCGTTTGTTTTTTTTAAATGTACTTTTTAGCCGCCAAAATTGACGACTGTCTTAATTTTTTTTGAACGTTTTATTGGATCCTTTCTTCGCTCCGCTCATAGAAAAATCAGTGCCGTTTACTAGTTAAATGACGCGTAATGAATGAATAAATCGATGGTTAAATTCTGAAAACACGTAACTCGGAATCCGCATCATGAACCCTGAGACTCGTAAGGATGCTCATGTTTTGCGTGTATCCTTATGAGTCTCAGGGTTCATGAGTTAATGATGCGGATTCCGAGGTACGTGTTTTCAGAATTTAGCCATCGAAATAAAAATAAAAATGAAAATAAAAATACAAACAAAAAATTGACAAAAATCTGACACTTTGAAAATTATTGTGTTAATTAAACTGGAAATAGAAACACAGTTTACGCCATTAACAGCCTTTATAACTCTGTTGAGGTTGCCGCGATCAAGTTTATTATTATCTCGTGATCAATAGATTTGGTCAAATCTCTTTCTACGTACAATAACATCAAGTAAGACAGTAGTTCTTGCCCAATTTGCGATCGAATCCGCGTTTTAATAAGTTTTAGTTTCGAAAATACTCGCTCACAGGTAACTTGGGTGCATGGTAAGGTTAAAACATACCTAAAGACAAGTAATAAACCATTAAAGTGGCCAGTTTGACTTGACTGTTCAAACAAGATTTTATAGGCGCAATGGAGGCAGTTTTCGCAAGCCTTTTTGTCAATTTTGGTATATGCATGGGGACATTTTCTTACACTCTCCTCCTCATCCTCGCAATCTACATCGGAGTCAGTCTCAAAATTGCCTTCACCTATTAATTCGTCGAGCCAATCATTTGAGTGAAAGTTAGACTTGAAGGCAGGAAACAGATCTGCGAACTGTTTAAGCTCACTAATTATCGTTGAGCGATCAACTTTTACTAGTTTTGAAATTTTCACAAATGTGGCTCTTTTAAGGTCCTTAGAAGCGGCAAAAAAAGGCTCCATCGAGTCTTCTTCGAATCGGCAATAAATGAGTCCTTCAGGGCTCTTCCGAAATGACAAAAAAGGACCCCTTTGGACTTATTCGAATCAGAAAAAAGGGCTCTCAAAATGCAGCGCCCTTAGATACGGCATAAAAAAGCTCCTTCAGGGCGCTCTCCGAATCGGCAATAAAGTGTCCTGTCCTCTCAGGAGTCTCGGGGCCCTTTCTCGAGGACGAACCGAAAAAGCCCTCGGAACGGCGAAATACGGCCCTTCAAATCGGCCAAAAGGGGCCCCTCCGGGGCCCCTTTTGGCCGATGAAAGTGGGGCGATCGCCCCATCGCCACCCCGGCCAGTCCGTCCCTGAGGAAGACTATAACAATTTTATTTCGAAGCTATATGCTTTAATGAACTATCCGATATCCTCCTCCATAGGCTCGTAGTTAATATCCTTATTCTTCTAGATCTTAAACCCCCCCCCCCCCCCCCNNNAAAAAAAGATTATAAATCCTAAATCCACCGTATGTTCACTTTGAATGTTATCCATGACCCAGTGTTCCCCGGTATAGGAAGTCGCTTAGAAGGGTCTCTAAGCGTGAAAATGGTGATGGCTAGAATAAACAAATTACTCTATCTTCTAAACCTCTACATTTCCTTTAATACTTACCAAGTTTGAAATTTTGTCTATAGATGGCTGTAGGTTCCACATATGGAATATAAGCCAGTAAACCAACAGAAGAAGAAGAAGAAGAAGAAGAAGAAGAAGAAGAAGAAGTTTTCATAATTGCATTGGCAGTAGAAAAAATTGAAGCTTGCGGAATTAAATAGGCAGAACAGCACTTACTTATTCCAACTTTCAGGGAACTGCAAAACCTGTTTTGGCATAATGAATTATTTAAGCCTCGAGTTAAAATTACACCTCAAGACCAGTGTTATTAGAGCTGGAAATTTCAACAGTCAAAGAGCATATTTCATAAGTAGTCCAGTAAATGAAGGCATGTAGGTAGGGCCCAATTCCGGCCAAAATGATCATACGGCTGGATTTAGGAACAATCGATTCTACATTCAAAACTTGAAGAGATCGTTCTTTTAGCGAAATTTTTGGGTTGCCCCCCGCCTCTGCCCACCTCCCCGCCAGGGGATCAAAAACTGGAAAGTACCTTAAAAGTTTCTCCTCCGATATGAGGGAAAACATCTGAAACCACAAATCGATATGATAATTAGAACTAAAGTTATGGCCAGTGGTGCATGACTTTTGAATAACCTTGTATAAAAAGGTGTTTTTAGCAAAAAGTCCCCATAAAACCCCTCATGGGATCCCGCACAATGGCCCAATGCAGTTGAAAATTGGACAAATTTTCAAAAATGCCAGCGAGAAATGAACTTGGAGAGCTCATTTTTTTTAAAAGTAGGTAATTTAGTATACGCTTCGAATAAGCTACAGCTGTGAATGTCAAAATACATATAAGTTGAATTTGAGTAAAGCTGAAAGAAATTGAAAATTGAGAATAATTGACCGGCATTTTCTGTATTTAAGTCCATGTGAAGGTCCGGATTGAAAAACACCCTTCAGTAAAAGTGGTAGATCGTTCTTTTAGCGTTGATTTGGTGCACTATTACGTCATAGGTTTACCTTTAGATTCGAGGGAACAAAAAGGCAAAAACGGAGCGGGTCGACGCGTGGCCGTCTATGTTTTGAATCGTAATACTGGCGCTTTTAGGTGGCATATGATGGCAGCGATGATTAATTCAGCTCTGCTCGTCCACTCACGACTAAAATTAATCATTTTCATCGTGAAGGCTCTTTTCTAAAGCGCCATGGTTGCCAGTTTTCACTTTATTTTTAAACTGTTTACTAATTTGTTCTGGCGGCCATTCAAATAATACTTAGGGCTTTTTGGACGTCTTTTTATACCTTCACCCCTTGTGAGGCAAACAACTTTTCAACCTCCTTTTGAATCAAGTAACTGCCCTGATTTCTCCCTCGACCCCCTTCCCAACTTTCCAAAAAGTGACAAAGAATGTGTGGAAACTGGCTAGATTTTTTTTTCTTTTCAAAATTATTATATTTTCTTAAAGTGGGAGGCACACGTGTGACATGACTTGACTCCCCTCCCCCTTCGTAAGACGCTCTGAGCCAAACTTAGACCTTACCCCTGTCCTTTTGAGAAACTTACGTAATACTTGAACGGTTTCCTGGTTCTGCCCAAGGAGCATAGAGAGTACCATGAAAAATACAATTTACCAAAAGTTTCAATAGTTCGTTTTTGTAGTGTTGGTTCAGTGTATCGTAGGTATACCTACTTTGATCGTGAGATAGGTTCATTTTGGAAAACGTGAGAATCTAATGGTGCCGAGGAGCTTCTCTTAGTTAGTCATATCACTAACTAATTACACGAATGACACGGACACGATCATGAATTTTTCTTGCATTATTGATGTTCTTTTGAATCATGTAATTGCCCTGATTTCTCCCTCCCCCCCTTCCCCTAACTTTCCAAAAAGTGACAGAGAATGTGTGGAAACTGGCTGACTTTTTTTTTTCTATTCAAAATTATTATATTTTCTTAAAGTGGGAGGCTCAGGCTCACGTATGACATTACCTGACTCCCCTCCCTCTTCGTGAGACCCCGTGAGCCAAACTTAGACCTTACCCCCTATTCCTTTTGAGCAGCTTACGCCAGGTTTTTCGTCTAGGGTAATGTTTCAAGCTCGCACTCTTCAACGTGTCAACACGTTAACTCTTTTTTTTTAATTCGTGAGTTTCCTGTAGAGTGACATAACTCACCAAGCGCCGGCCCC